TAGACAGTAGGAACCAGATTTAAACACATTTCCTCATTTAAATTATTATTTATTCAATTGACATTTTTGATCATTTTGAAATTGCTGTGACATTTAAACTGAATCTGGAATCAATGTGTGTCTCTTCAGAGATGATGGGCCCTTGCCCACAGGTTTGGAGATGGTTGACAGTAGCCTTACAGTTCAGGGTCCTGTGGAGCTTCAACTTTCCGGCCTGTATGACTGTGTCGTCTCCTACCATCATCTTAAAGCAACGCTGCAGATCAACATCACAGTTCATCCTCATGTTACTCAGCCTGGTAGGTAAAACTGGGAGTGATTTTTTCATGGTGAATTCCCAGCATCATATGTGATGTTAATGTGGCACCTCCTCTCCTCGTTTCTCCTCAGTTCCTCCCACGATACGAGTTGATTTGCGAACTAAAGGTGGACACCGGGTGATTGAGTGCTCAGCAGCTGATGCTGTTCCTGCAGCCAATGTATCCTGGCTTCTACCAAAGGGTGTGTCTGGAGTCTCTTGGTCCAATTTCACTTCTCATAATGGAAGCCACTCTGTCAGGGGAGTTTTTCTCCTCCCTGCCTGCTCGCCCTTAGAGCTCACTGCAGAGTGTGTGATAAATCACCCGGCATTTGAGGAGCCAGAGAACAGAAGCATAACGCTGCCTCTTTGTGGTAGGTTCAACAAATCAAGCGTTGGATTGGTAGCAGACACATTTGGCCATGCAAACACCATAGATTTGATCTACTTCTCCAACGAAACACCTCACTTCCTCTTGTTTCACTTCTCTATTCCTCGCAGCTCGAACTAACATCACCATCAACTCCAGCACCACGTGGAAAGATGGTGAACAGTTCACAAAGGTCGACTGCACTGCAGACAGTGTTGCCTCTGCAGCAGTTATAACCTGGCATGTTGGAAACAGTGACAAGAGCATCATGGGTAACCTGTCAGAGCCTGAAGTCCAGGCTGATGGTTCGGTTTCAGCCCGTAGCTCCATTCACTTCATGTCATCTCTGTATGCTGGTCAGAATTTGACCTGCATGGTGGAGCATCCGAGCTCGGAGGCATCAGAGAGAAGAACAATACACATTCCTGTGCAGAGTACGTTACTCGTTTATTTGAAATATTTATTTTTGTGACACACACACAACCTTGCAGAGCTGATCATCTTCTTCCTGTCACCCTTTATTTTCTTTCAGGAGCCCCTCTGCTGAGTGTGTTTGTGGTCAGACAGCAGAACTCTCACCTCTGGCTGGGGGTGTGTGAATGCAGAGGAGAGGCTGTCGGGACAAACCTTGCCTGGATTCTTCCTGAAAATGCCAAAGGTCAAACGTCCCTGCACTCAGAGTATGAGGGAAGCTCCAAGAAAGCCAGGCTGATTTATCAGTTTCCTCTGGCCCTTCATGAGGGGCAGGACCTGACCTGTGTGTACCAGTCTAAACATGTGATCTCAGAAAAGAGGACCGTTCATATTCCCAAATTCTGTGAGTTCAAAAGTACAGTCATTCCAAATGTAGAAATTCACATAAATGCATCAAAGATATGAGGTTGAACAGACCTTTCTGCAGATATCTCCGCCGTGAGAGTCCTGAACCACACGAGCCCTCTGCGGAGCCGCTACGATGGTGAACCCGTCATACACAGACTAGCGCTCCAGGAAAATGATCACAACCAGAAAATACTGCTCCGAGTGGAAGGCAACGTGCCACAGTATGACCTCAGCTGTAAGAGGTGGAGTATCATTATGGTCATCATGGGGAAGCACCTGTGCACACACTGTACTGCACTAAATTCAATGTTAATCCCTAACCCATTTCAGGGAGCAGATACTCAGTTAAGAATGATCAGTAAAACTGGATTGTTTCCACAACACTAATGCTGTAGTGCTTTGACATGAATTGCAATTAGTAGATTGACATTTTGCAAAAATATGTTAATTTGCTTTATTGATGAGTGTGAGTGTAGATAAGAAGATCTACAGCCAGGAGATGGTTGGCGTAGCTTATACTGGAAACAGTAAAACCATCTAGCTCTGTCCAAAGATAACAACATTCCCCTTTAAAAGAAGCTTTAAAACTGCTCACAAATGAACATGTTATATCAAGCAGTTTTTTCTGTATTAAAAAAAAAAAGCAAAAGTGTAAAAAAGGGCTTGTGTTTTTATGGGGATTTATGTGCGGGGCTAGTTCTTGGCCGGGTGCAGTAAACTTCCAGACAAGAGCGTGGTATCAATCTTCTCTGCACCTGTCCGTCCTGGCAATAAAGCAAATAAGCATATTTCCCAAAATGTCAAACTTTTCCTCTGAGGGCAAATTGATTTAGAAGTTACTTGTGTTTCAGGAGTGATGGCTCGTTCGTCCACATGGAGGGGCTGGCTATGGTCTTCCCGGCAGAGCTCACGGAGCGGGATGAAGGCCTGTACACGTGCTGTGTGTCCTTCTATCACCACATGGCCACAGTCAGGATTCAAGTGGAGGTCATGAGTGAGGACAAACAGTTTGGTAAGTGCCATGTTGTCTTTATTTTGCAGTCAGACTGATTTTCTCAAGATATGATCATACAACATTATCTGTTTGATTTGTGTGATATTTGTGGCTTTTGTGTGATGTATCTGTGTGTGCGTGTTGCAGCGCTGGCGACCATGACCTGCGTTTCTTCGGCCATTGCCCTCATCATCATCCTCGTCGTCACTCTCTGGGTGTGCTGGTGAGTTAATTGCCCCCCGCAAGTGACAGGTTGCGACTCTGCAGGTAAATGCCCTCAGGTAAATGAGGGCAACGCTGCTGAAGTCGTATATGAGACAAACAGGATGTGGGGATCGTTAACTGAACTCACCAAAACCCAAGTATCGTGCAGTTATTCATAAACAGGAAACAATGTGGCTGAAGCAGACAGGTACCAGTGTCACCGCAGTCTTCCTTGTAGACAGGTGGAAAATGTTCCCTTTGTCTGTGTGAACAACAAATGTATGTCTCCAGTTTTCTGCTTGGCTTTTAGCAGTGTTACTTCTGCACTTGACTGCTGTTGGTTGGCCTGTTATCGTCAATGCCACATTGCCAACGCTAAGGTGAAAAGTTCAAAAAGTTCACATTAGTATAATGAAACTCGAGCTGCCGTTCATCAATGAAAAAGAAAAGCCACAAATCCATCTCTTAATCCCAATGCTGCTGGAAAGCAAGACACACGTCTTTTACAACTGATGTGGGAAATCTGTCACGATGCTCCAGCTGCTTTATGGTTTCTGTCTGCAGACTTTTCCACATTTCCACATTCGCCATACGCCAAAATCAGAACTTTTCTCAGGAATGTTACTGAGGATCAGATCAGCCTGTGAGTGAAGCTGGTGGTTCAGAAGCTACTTCAATAGGCCTCCCTCTGTGGTCAGAACATTTGGTCAAGGTTCCATTGGTTGACAGACCCTCTGTCCCATTATGCCTTGCTCCAGTGGGAGGGTCCTTTCCTGTCAGGCTAATTCGGGAAGGTCAGTCGCACAGCGTTCACCAAGAATACACAAGAAAACATGACTCCCTGAGAGAGACGCTATTTTGGGACTAATGTGGACCCCCCCCCCCATCCACTAACGGGGGACACGTTTTTGAAAACAGCAGGTCTTCATTGAGGTGATGTCAGTAGGGTCATAAGATACAAAGCTGCTGCTTCTGACATCAGAGATCAATGATGAGGACTCGGGTCCCCTCTCACCTGCATCAATATTCCTGTCACATAATGTATTTGCACCTGCAACATGTCTACTTGAACTGTGTCAGATTGATCCACAGCGTCATCTAGTGGTGATTTCCAACAATACATCCAAACAGGACTTTTCTGATGACTAATACAAGTTTTTTTCTTTTGTTTTGTAGCACAAGAATTGGCAGGTATCAAAATAAGGTACAATTAAATCTTGTTATCATTTAAATGTACACAGCCTCTTCAGAAATCTTCACTTTAACTTCACCTTGGCTTCTCTGATTTTGCTCATTTATTCAAATCAGGAACCAAAAATAACCTCTGCTCGTCCTCTGACTTCCCTCCTTCTCTTAGATTCAGGGGCAGGAGTCTCTGTCGGCTCTGATGCAGGATCCCGGCTCTCCTGCGGTGAAGAATCCGGAGATGGTAGAAAAGGACAGCAAGGAAAATACTCAGCTGATCAGTTACTCCATCATCATCGATGTGAAGAGTGCGGTGTGAGGATAGAGAGGATGGTTTGCTTTTTATACAGCATTCAGCTTTAAATTCTGCACAATGATATGAAGGCTTCATCTCACTGCAGCACTGTTCATGAGTTCATTGTATTTTATATGTGACTGACTTACGTGACATTATCCAGTTTTTGTTCTTTTTAAAGATCTTAGTTTTAAAAGCATTACGTTTGCACTTTTTCATGTTATACTTGAATTTTGCTCTCATTTTTTATGCACGATGTTTTCTCAGGTATTTGAAAGTATAATCATGCCTATATATTTTTTTTAGGTTTGTAACTATGCGACTGCACCATAACACATCCAGATATAGTAGACATTAATTAGACATTAAGAATTCTATAAATACAATTCCGAGACCTTATTTGATCCAGATGACAGCAGACTGGACCCACACACCCCCACGTAAGGGCAGTGTTTTTACGCCCTCTAGTGGCAGATGATTATGGACACAACTGAGTGAATCAGGTTTTAGCCACTGCACAAATTTCATTTTAGATTTCTCTCAGACATTCTCTAATATCTCTGCCTTTATAGTTTATTAAAATAATATCAAGGCCATAGAATCACATCAATCACTAAATGTCATTAATGCTTAAAAGTAGGTGACTTCACATGAATACATTCTGACATCAGAAGGGTTTTGGAACTGGCATTTGGCGTATTGGGTTTAAATCTGGAGAATTCTGCCCCAATAGCAAAGAAGATTCTACATTTTCTGGTTGAGAAAGCAGCCCCCCAACATAAATCACAGTAAATCAAAGATTACAGTTGAGACCAGACAGGTTTGCTAAAGATTGTAATCATAAACAAAGTGGATGTCAGATTTATTTGCATTTATGTCAGGAATATGTACTGTAGGTGTCTTCCTGTGTTTGTCTGTTTACATGTGTGGAATGAATAAAACAGATCAAAACAATTTAAAGTAACCATACGCTCCTAAAGTTGTTCAACACGCACACACCAGATTCATTTTTTAAGTTTGTATTTTGCATCATTAACAATTGCATGTCAAAGACTTTTTTTTAACCATATAACAATTTTAAATTTAAATGACATTTGTATTAAATTGCCTAAATGATCAGGGTACACAGAGTGAGTCATGTAGCTGTGTATGTAGGTTTCACTTCTGACTTAACGATTTATTCCACATAAATCAGAGAATTCAACCTGAGCTGTTTCTGCTCAGAAAGGACACTTCAGGTAAAACAAAGCATGTACATACAATAAACATAATTTAACCACGTTGGAGTCTGTGACCAAACCTGTATCATCAGAATGTGACACATTTAAATGAAAGTATATCACTTTAAAAAATGACAAACAGAAACAACATGTTGGAAAATGAAATGAAAAATTTTAATTTCTATGAAGTTCTCTAACTTCCTCATCTTTTCTTGTACAGACAAGGCTTCAGCTGAAGTCCAAACTTCTTAACATTTTCTGGAGCATTTCCTGACTTCACACATTCAAAGGAGTAAAAATGAGTGTTCTCCGTATCCTGAAGAAAATAAAGAGACAAAACACAAATTATTCTCAGGCATCTATTACACTACCGGTCAATACTTTTACACCACCCCCATGTGTCCAGCTATATGTATGAGGTTTAATTCACTTAATTCAGGTCAGAGCTGCACAGTGTCCAGACTTCTGCCCTAACGAAACAATTTATTTTCATCTTAGAAAGAACATCCGCCTATTTAGCTGCTGAATGAGTCAAAGATGTAGATTAAATGATGGATTAAAGATTCCGTGATTCCTTTTTTAAAATCTTTCTTATTTATTTGTTCCATGCTTAAATTTGAAAGCACAACGTGACATTCTAGTCTGTACATTATAGTAAAAACTGAAGGTGATCTAAAACCTGGCTACTGAAAACCATTTCATGTTCAAGTCTTGTTCTGGTTGAGCTGTTTGCATGATGTTCATCTACCTTTAATACATTTAACTGAGTAACTATGTCGTAAACTATAAACCAGTGCACTGAATCGTCTGTTCCACCCATTTTCAAGGGAAAAGAAAATGATGAAAACCTGTATTCACAGTAAATACGGTTAAATATTTAATTAAGATAAGAGACAAACATAAAATGTAGATGTTTCCATGCCAAACAACCCCTTTGCTTTACATGGGTTCTCATTATTTGCATGTGAAGCTTTTCATGTTCACAACTGTGATACCGCATGAGCTACCTTTGCTTATATTTAAAAATGTATAAGGGAAAGTACACAAATAAGAATGTGTTTCTCTATCCCTGCAAACTGACGTCATCCTGTTTGTCTCACCTTGGAAACCAACTTGAATCCCAGATTAGCCAGAGCAGTGAGGAAGCTCCGCACGTTGTCGAACCTGCTGGCCACTTCTGCTATTTTAAGCACACCCCTGCAATAATTGTGTGCGACAGTTAGACATATAGTTTATGTGCAGAGAAAAAGCACATTTTGAAATCAGTGTCACATTTCTTACCCCATCTTTAAGACTCGATTGGCCTCTGCTAAAAAATCTGCTAGGTTGGTCCCCATGAGGGAGAGGCAGAACACTGCGATGTCCACAGAGCAGTCACGAAGCGGCACCTGTACAGACACACGTAATATGTTTAACTTCAAAACAACAGCAGAGGAAATGTACATTCATTCACAAAGGGCCAAAGATCTACCAAGTCCAAACTCACGTTGGCCATGTCACAGACTGTGACCAGCTCACAGGCAGCTGCCAGGTCGAAGCTGTGCACCTTGTTCTCCACACTGCGAGCTATTTTACAGTCGCCGCAACCAAAGTCTGCAACCACCATAGAGGGCGATCTGAAACAAATGTTACGTGTTTGCAATCACAAAGCAATATATTTATATTCTGAGTTCAAATCTCAACAGAACCCGAAGCTCATGTAAAGTTCTAATAACCACAAACAGCCAACGAGTTTGCCACATTATTTCATCTTGCTGCTAACAAGCACATATTCTCACAGCAGTTTACTGTTGGGCTGCATCATCTCCTGCACGACTGCAGTCCTCAGTGCCAAATCTGCAGAACAACAATTTGGGGTTTAGTTTCTTGCGCTGGGACACTCTGGCATCCTGAGGAGAAGAGACAGGGGTAAAACCCCCGACGTTCTGGTTTACCTCCCGAGCCCCAGCCACAGTTGTGTTAAGAAACAAATCAGTTACTTCAGACACTCAAATCTTGAGAAGTTAAGCTTTGTGCCTTCGTGCAACAGCATCTTCTTCATGGAACACGGAGCTGAATCAAGTGTCACAAACTGAAACTGAACTGAACTGAAAGTTTTGAAAGCTCTGAAAAGCTAGCAGGTGGATTTTTGAGCTTTGACTTTGTTGTTATATTTCCTGCAGTTTTTCAGGAATATAACAAAATCCCAAATAAATGATTACATGCAAAAAATGCTGGATTAAAAGAAATAATGGAGATATCTCACTTTAGCTGAATGTAGGAGATGATGGCGTCCACCGGGTTGGCGGGCCATTTCTGGACCTGTGTGGTGTATCCTCTGTGGTAGATCCAGAAGGCTTGAGGATCCTGCTTGAACATGCGCTTGGCGTCGCCGCTGGACGTGCTGTACAACACTTCGTTAATGTAACGGAAACGGGCCGACTCCAAGCGCTGCTCCATGCGCAACCTGAGGGAGGCGGAGCGGTCGAGCTTCACCTCCTCCACTGGTGCCGCCTGCTCGTCTTTCTGCTCTGCGGGACTCTCTCGTTGGTCTGGTTCTTTGACCTGGAGCATTTTCCGCAGCTTCTCTCGTTTCAGAATCTGTTCTTTGCTCAGCTCGGGTTTCAGTCTTTTATTAGGTAACTGCTGCAGATCATCTGTGATCTTAGCGTGTTCAAAACCACCCTTTGTTTTGTTCTGTTTTTCAGTCCGCTGCTTTTCCTCTCTCAGTATTTCTGGTGCACACAATATGCCACTGTCCTCGTCAGTCTGTTTCCTTTTCTGTAGTTTACGTTCTGTCTCACTTTTCTTTTTTGGACCTGTGGTCTCAGTGGGTTTTTGACTGTTTTTGTTGATGCATGAATCTGTTTTTACTTCCTCCTTTGGCTTGTGTTTATCTGCAGATTCTGTTTCATTCTTCTCCTCCGTATTCTGGCGGTATTTATTTTTACCTTTCTTCTTGTTCTTCATCTTGTTTTTCCATTGTTGTCTACTCAGTCTCTCAGTGTCGCCTGGTTTGTTTATGTTCATCTTTGCAGATTTTGTCATTTCTTCATCCTTTGTCTCGCCTGCAGACATGGTTTTTATCTTCCTGGCCACTTTAGGACAAAAGAAAATAGAGTTACATTTCACATTGACATTGTTTTGCTTCTCTGTGCATGAAAAGACAACAAGCCTTTCATCAGCTCATTACTCACCAACTTTGTTGTCTTTACTTTTCTTTCTTGCCACAGGTTTTTCCTTCTCGATGCTCTGATCCAAATCTCCATTCTCCTGCTGCTCCACTGATGTCTTTGCATGTCTTCCCTTTTTCCTCCTCTTCTTCTTTCTCTTGGTTGGTGACGAAGCTGCTTCTGCCTCAATCTCGCTGTCACTGTCCTGCTGGTGGTCATTGTATTTCCACTCAGGTATTGATCCCAGAGTTTGCAGGGTCCGCAGCAGACTCTTCTTCCCAACAAGCTTGGACTGATCAGGGGAATATAATACATTTTTGCAGGTTAACATAGGGCTTAGTAATACAGTAAAATTGTATGAAGATATGCAGAAATGGATGAGTTTTAATGCTGAGTTATGATTTGCAAAGATTTGTTTCTATAGCGCCAAATTTGCTTCAAACAATATTTGAGCATAGTCTTTAAATGGTTCATTTATTCATTAATTCTATATTTCTCTGTAACTGCAACACATTAAATATGTCCATATATACATATATATATTAAAAAACTTGGTCTCACAAGTATACAACATTATTCAAAACCGAGGGGAAAAAATTAACATATTACCAAATATTCTCTGATTTCTGCATCTCAAATTAGATGATTTGCTGATTTTCTTTATCATACGTCAAACTGAGCATCTGGATTTTCAGACATGTAGACTAACAGAACTTTTGCATCTGCAAAGTTGTATTTGTTGTAACATAATAATTACTTGGTTGATCAAATTACATTTTTGCTCATTCATAAACGACAGATATTCATGATGTCTTACACAGTCACAACAACAATACTCGAGCTTGTATCAGGTGGATTTGATTTTACCTTGACATCAGCGCTGTTCACCTTCTGTTTGTTTTTACAGACAGTTTGACTCAAAGTTTGAGCGTCTTGTTCGTCACTCCAGTCTTCCTCCTCATTAAACATGTTTCCACGAGGACTGTAAGAAAGACACACACATCTTTAAATAACACAAGCATCTATAGATAACACACATCTGTAAATAAAACACCCATGTGTAAATCAGAAAACCCTCCCAGTGTCCCTCTGCTGATCCTGTTACTCACCAGTTCAGTTGTCAGACAGTTTGTTGTGTTGATCTCGCTCTTCACACAAAACGTTTTCAATATTTACAATCTATTGTGTATCTTCCGTGAATGGATTGAATCTTCATTCGATAACATTCATTAGTTTCTTGTCAGGAGCGAAAGCCACGTTTTGTTTCTCGAGCACGAATCAAACAGCAGTTCAGGCGCGAGTAGATGACGCAAGCACACTAGAGGTTCATGGGAAATGTAGTTTTTCGCGCATACGTCAGACAATACACAGTCGAAATGAATGTTCAGTACTTATTCAATGTTTTTAGGTGAACAATAGAAAACAGTAATAATAATAATAGTAATACAAAAGGTCTGCACAACTGTCAGTCAATGACTACAAATATTAGTTTTATAATTTACCTATTTAAGAACTAATTATTTAATCAATTAATCAATTGTTATATTGAGTAATCAGAAATCATTGAAATTAATTACTGAACTATTGCAGACGAAGAACTTATTATCAAAATCAATATTTTGTTTCTTTATCTATTTGCTATATTTGAATTCATATTTCTCATAGACTATCCACCTCCAAACTCTAGTGTTGAGTCAAATTGATTCAAAGTGTATAATAAGCATACAACAAGTTTACCATAAACTCACACATACAAAAACATCTGGTCTTTGCATCTGGATGCATTGTTATTTTGTACCTACACACGTTTACACAATATGTTGTTCATTGTACCTATAGTTTGAACCCTATGGTTTGAACCTACAATACATTTTCTGTTTGTCTGCTTTTATGTCACATATAGAATTTCAACACCTTAATCCTGCTATTACATCTGCTTTTTTTAGTAAGTATGACAAATCTATTCAAAAGAAGAAATTATAAAAAGATAGAAGATAGATGAATAGAAGACAGTTAATACAGATAGATAATTAAAAATAGAGTCAGATAGAGTAAAGATAGCCAACAGCGAGATCATTCTTACGAGATTGTTTAAGAAATTTTAAGGAACAAAAACCACAAACAGATAAAGAAATGATTCCTCTGATCACAACATTTTCCACTATGAGTGGACTAATGAACCAGAAACTCAAAAACAATTTTCAAACATTGATACAGCAGCAGGGATTGCTTGACAATTTTAAAGTCATTTCGGCCTACAAGAGGAATAAAAAATTTAAATTTGTAAAGTTAAATTTTTGAGAAATACAACTAGTAAGATCAATTTTAAAATCTCACAAACTTTCACACCACAGACATCCAATTGTGTGTAAATTAAGAAAACACCAAAGAAAACTGACTGACAACTAGCATGAAGAAGAACAGAGCCAGAGAATGAAGTGAGTGAGAACATCAGAGGCAACACTACCTGCACAAGAGCTTATAAAAACAAAAAAATTACCTACAAACTAATTTAAGTTAAAGCTAACAGCTAACCAACAAGATTGTAAGCCTTAGCAACGGTTACTAAGGAGTTGGAACAACAACCATGCAGCCTCAGCAGAGCCCTGGAAACTCAGACACACCACATACAGAAGCTGTTCCTCTCTTATACACACAAGATCTGAAAAATGAGAGTGCCAGGAAGGCATACAGCCAGAAAGTGTTGAAGGAAAGAGCGGAGACATCAGCTACCTGATCTTCTTCACAGAGCAGCCACTAGCATGGCACTCTGCCACAAAGACCCACTACCACTCTGTGAAGAAAGAGGGGATCTGTAATGGCTGGAAACTGAAAGTCAAAGAGGCAGAAGACCCAGACTCCCCCATGACATCAGTCAACATATACAAGAACAGGACTGTCATGGTGCAGGGGAACCTCAGGCAGTTTGAGCTCCAGGAGAGAGAGACATAGTCAGCCCAGGCCTGACAAGACAGCTGGACTCACACCCAGACCACAACCAGGATCCTGGGAGCCCCACACAGAAGCACCAGGACCAAGAGGCTCCACCCACCCAGAGCCACAAGAACCGAGAAGCTCCACCCACTCAGAGCCACCAGAACCAAGAGGCTCCAGCCACCCAGAGCCACCAGAATTCACCGAGATCCTCACACAGTGGAGCCCGGTAAACTGAACTTTAGAATACAACCTTATAGATGGACAAACAACAGCAAAGACCACTACCAGAAAGCAATCACACATCAAACAATTCAATTAGACCATTTGATCTTCCCTGACATCTGGAGCAAAGGAATTATAACCCCAATCTTTAAAAATGGAAATTTGACCCAAAACAATTATAGAGGCATATGTGTCAGCAGCAACCTGGGGAAGGTATTCTGCAGCATTCTAAACAGCCGACTGCAAGACTTCCTCAGCGAACATAACATTCTGAGCAAGAGTCAAATTGGATTTACACCATAACACCGAACTACCCTTCACACTCTCATTAACAAACATGTTCATCAAAACAAGAACAGAATTTTTTCTTGTTTTGTAGATTTCAAAAAAGCATTTGACTCAATCTGGCACAGTGGTCTGTTCCTAAAATTAATTGAAAAAGGTATAGGGGGGGGGGGAAATCTATGACATAATTAAAACAATGTACACAAATAATAAATGTGCTGTGAAGATCAACAACATGGAAACAGATTTCTTCCTCTAAAGTAGAGGGGTGTAACAGGGCTGCACTCCAGCCCCACCCTGTTTAAAATTTATATTGATGAATTGGCAAAATCACTTGAACAATCGGATATCCCTAGCCTCATTCTCTCTGACACAGATATTAAATGCCTACTTTTTGCAGATGATCTAATACTGTTAGCTCCATCTAAAGAGGCATTACAACAGCAACTAGATCATCTGCAAAACTTCTGTGAGACCTGGGCCCTGACAGTTAATCTAGAAAAGACAAGAATTATGGTCTTCCAGAAACGACCCAGATGTCAGGGAAACCCAAACAAGTTCTTACTGGGCTCCCCTGACATTGAACACACACATACCTACACATATTAAGGACTCAAAATTAGCTCTACAGGAAATTTTAATCTGGCCGTTAATGATCTCAGAGACAAGGGAAGAATGGTTTTTTACGCCTTAAAAAAGTCTACAGTCATTGATATACCCGTTAGAATCTGGCTCAAAATATTCCACTCTATAATTGAACCTATTTTACTGTATGGTAGTGAAGTATGGGGCCCTCCTATAAATTAAGACTTTGAAAAATGGGACAAACACCCAATCAAAATCCTGCATACTGAGATTTGTAAGAGCATTCTCAGAGTCCAGAGGAACACCCCCAACAATGGATGTCAAGCTGAATTAGGACAATATCCCCTTTTAATTCGGATACAAAAAAGAGCCATCAAATTCTACCAACACCTCAAAGCCAGCGAGCCCAGCTCCTACCACTACAAAGCCCTGCAACGCCAAGAAGAGAGCAAATAAAGGAGTCCCCTCAGCCAGCTGGTCCACCGGCTCAGCTCCAACAGCACAGGGCACCAAGAGCGGCCTCACACAATCCGGCCCCACCAAATTATAACTAAAGAAAAAGACAATTACATCAACTATTGGACATCTGCAACCAAAACCCATAGTAAAACTCCAATCCTATTCGTCCCTAAACAGAAAATACTCCATGGCAGATTATCTGAGCTCTGTAACTGACCCCAGACTGAGGAAAACGTTGACGTACAGACTCAGTAACCACAGCCTGGCCTTAGAGAGAGGCCGACACAGACAGACGTGGCTGCCCAGAGAGGAGCGGCTGTGTCTGCTCTGTCCACACAGACAGGTGGAGACAGAGCACCACTTCCTGCTGCACTGTGACGCATACACAGACATCAGAACACAGTTCTACACGAACTTTACACACACAACCCCAAATTTTGACAAACTCTCAGATCAAGAAAAACAACATCTACTGGGAGAAAAAAGTGCCACTGCTGTAGAAACAGTGAAATATGTGAGTGTCTGTCACAGGAGAAGAGAAAAGCTGCACAACAACCTACACACTGATGCACGTACTGATCATTAGATACTGTTCTGTAATAGTTACCTCTGTATGATACACACCTTTTTTTAAATTGATATATAGTATAGTTTTATTAATGTACAGCATAGTTTTAATTGATGTATAATATAGTTTTATTGATGTATAATTTATTACTGTATTTTGCTAAAATAATACATTGCTACTGGATCAAATGCTGTGTGGCCATCTCTCCACAGGGAGGCACCATCATGACTTCTCCTGCTTGGTATTTAAAGGCGGAAAGGCGGGATCAATCGTGTACCTCTGACACGGGCTAATGTACAATGCATTCCACTGTATATATTAGTTTCAATTGTATATATATTTTCTATTATATTTCTAGTTTATACTTCTTTGCTCTTATATTGCATGTTTACTTATTTGTTACTTTTACTAATGTCTAATTTTTTACTATCCCTATTTTTACAGCACCACAGCCAATCTCCCCCTGTGAAGTTGGGAGTAAGTTTGGCTTCTCTGCATTTAAGTGAGAGAAAAACAGGATCAAAAAATGTACTCTGACAATGTAATTGCAACCTTTTTCAATGCTTTATTGGAAAAAATTGGAATGTACAATCCAAAATGTACAAAGAATCAAGCATACGTGTAAACGAATAAATAATTTAAAAATAACGATAAGAAAAAAACTGAAATAGATGAATTTCTTTCATTGGGAATTATGAACATGAAATATATCTTTCCTGACATTCCTCTTTAAAGACATCAGATTACATTGACACTTGTCTTACTTTTGTGTGTTTCTAAGTTTGATAGTTTTAATATACGGTAGTGATTTAACTTACATACAAACATGTGAAGTTGTTGTTGTTCTCTGCATGTATGTGAGTCAAATATTTAATTACAACCAGTTACAACAAGGCGTCAACGATGTCGTCATGCTACTCTACGTACACTTCCGAACGATGTTTTCAAAATAAAACTCAAACTGACTCATCCGCCGCTTTATACGTCAAGCCTGAACGATCCTGTCTCCGGAACCTTTACTCTGAAAAGACAAAACGAACGAGTTTGACGCCACTTCCCTTCACCGAGGACTCGCCTGTCAAAACACAACGTAACTTTACTCAGGGAAACTTCAGTCGATTGACGCTGAAGCGTTTGAAGAATACAACTCTGAGGTGATCGCTAGCTACAACAGAGCTAACTTGTTGGTTCAGCTTTTCTTTGGAGTTTTCCGCTCACTCGGGTTAGCCTCTGTTAGCTTATCAAGAAGGAGCTAATGCTAAGTAGCCCAAACTAATTGTATCGGTTGCCCAAAGTTCTCTGTGTTTACGTCTTATTTCTGTCGCTGCGGGTACAATGAAATGTTGATGTCATTGATAACAGATGGACTCATGTGAAACGAGGCTTTAGCTGCAGCTTTATCAGCCTGTTTTAGCCGATTTGAACTATTTTATCACCAGACAAACTAGAGCCACCTTTCTGTGATTGTTAAGACATGACCTCCGAGGGACTATCACTGGGGCTGTTGTTAAAGAATCATGTCAAACACATGCTAAGGCAACAATGTCTAGCATGTTAAGCGTGTTATTAATAATAATCATGATAATCCTAACTTTATTTGTATGGTAGTCTCCTTTCAGAGGGAATGGAGAAGGCTAAACAAGATGCATTCGACAATGCCAGACTGCAAATGATCAAAGATGGCTATGAGAGAGCTTTCGAGTGCATCAATGAGGGACTGACAGTAGACGAGGCCGGAGACAAGGCTCAGGCCCTGGAGCTCTACAAGCGTGGACGCCAGTACCTGCTCAGGGCCATCAGCGTCCCCTCGCAGGGAGAGGAGTGTGTAGGCAGCTCCTGGGAATCAGCCAGACAGATGCAGCAAAAGATGCAGGAGACGCTGAACAACATCACGACTCGTCTGGCCATACTGGAGACCAGCAGTGACCTCGCTTCTGCACCCATGCCAAGCACTACCACTGCTACAGGCATGTCTGCAGAATACCTCTACCCAAAACTCCCAACCAAAGACAAGCCAGAGAGGCCAGCTCCACCAAACGTACTTTCCGCTAATGGCGAGGCAGCAGGAGTTGCTACATGCAGTGGTGCAGACTTCCCACTTTCACCCACCAGACAGCCTGTGGTGCCAGCCGAGCAGCCTCCAGCCTACTCCCCTCAGGCGGCTGATGGCCACTTGTCCCTTTCTTATGGAACGGATTCAGGGGAGATGTCGGTGGTCGGGGATGAGTTCTACAGTCGCACGTCTAACACCACACCATCCCCCCAGAGTATGGGCGAAGAGGGAGAGGAGCTGCTGTACATCCCTCACGGTGTGCAGATATTTTTTGTGACACCTGAAGGTCAAGTGAGCGCTCCATCTTACCCCGGTTACCTGCGGCTAGTCAGGTTTACAAGTGATCACTCTGACAGCATGCCCAACCGGCCACCAGCCTTTCTGCAGGTAAGAGGAAATAAATATTGTGTCTATGTCACAGCACTAAAATGCTCTCTCTTACAAAGCTTGAGACGACAAGATAAGCAACTCTATTGAGCAATCAATCCAATGGCGGCGTGTGAAATGTCATCACTGCTCTGTCACTAGTTCTTTTTGTGCCCTTTAACCTGATTATGTAAGATGTCTGCTCAGCTCATCAAGCCCTTTTTGACTGTCAGTCACCAGTGGCCTGATATAGGTCTGTTAATGATCTCTATCCCTTGCCCTATGGACTTGATCATGTGAGCGTTGGTGACTCAGTGCCTTAATCCTATTGGGTTTATGCATGTGATGTCACTCTCCTGGGAAATCCCCGATCAGGTTCATTTAACCATTCAAAACTGGACAAAGATGGTACACCAGCCATGTGCATTCCATTTTTAACAGGAAAATTAATGGTAATAGGCTGATTTGATCTGATTTAGTTTATCCTCATATTAAGGAAACCCTTGATAGGACCTTGATATTCTTATTTAACTGTCCAGATTTGTATTAAAAGTATTTAAATTACAAAAGAACTGAGGGGTTTTTTTTCAGTATGGTGAACAAAATACACACATTAAATAGTTTATCTGTCAGATTGTCCTGTCTGATACAACAGGAGCCCTGCAGTTCAACCTGCAATTATGAGATTTATCATTTTGAGTTTTTGTTTAAGCAACGTTAAACAAGGTATAAAAAAGAGTAAATGTTCCTGTTTCCATCACTACTGGCTCCCACTAATACATCTGTAACTCTAATATTGTCCCTCACTGTCTATCTGCAGTCAGTTGAGTCTTTCTTCATGTTACGTTTTTGCAATCAAACAGTTCAGGACTATTATGCATTGTGTGTCTGTGGCTGCATCCATGCTACTACGTTTTAGTTTTAAAATGCATCACTGTTGCCGCCCTCTCAACTCCACAGTTTTTAGGCACCTAAAATAGAGAAGTTTGGAATATGGTCATAAAACGCTTATCAGTACACCTGGACAGAGAGCGTTTTGGTTTTAAAATGAAACCATATATGTATGGATGTAGCCTCCACAAACATACATACACAATATAACCAATATAATTCCAAACAACAGCAGATGCAGATGAGTCTGAGCGACTCTCCAGACAGTTTCTCGATCTCATGTTATTTAATCTATGAAAGGCACAGAAACAAACCAGCCAACATTTAGGTGAACTGTTACTTTGTACCCAGTCTGTGATAAGATTAGAAATGCCATAAAGCTGTGTAAACATCCCAGTTTAGGGTTTTCATGAGGAGACAAAATAAATACTTTGAGCAGTTTTGTCCTGCTCTCTGTTAAAAAAGCCAACGCACTGACACTAGTGGGTCATAAGACTGTAATTTGACTGTTAACTGGGAATTTCCCAGGTGCTATTACAAGTGGGTGACAGTGATTCACATGGGTGAAAGTAACTCTAAATCCTGCTTACACTGTCATGCCCTGTAATACTATTAGACATGCAGCAGTCAGGGGGGGAGAAAGTGTTGCACCAATCAGAATCTCCATTAAATAGTCTCCTTATGTTCACTTTACATTTCAAAACTTAAATCCACAGCAAAAATCTCCTTGTAGATCAGTTTTCCTGACCCTGTCATTTTTACCTCCATATAAATTCTCTTATTGTTGTACTTTGCTGAATATTCTGGCAAAAATACACATACACATAACCATGATGTCGTATATTTACCTATTTCTTATCAGATTTTCAAGCAGTCTGTATTTCTCTTTCTTCCTTGCAGGTGTGCGACTGGCTCTACCCACTCATGGCCGTGGACTCTCCAGTGTTGCTGTGTAACACTGGGGTGTTTATGTTCCCGGACATGATGGCACCAGCTCCCGGTTATTATGTCGGGGTGGTGTTGTCCTCTGAGTTGCCTCCTGCAAACAGAGAACTGTTCCAGGACCTACTGTCCCAGATGACAGATCTTAGGGTTCAGGTCAGTTGCTGCTGTGCAGTCAGATCTGCAACAGAACTTTTCTCTACTGCTCAGAGAATTGATTCTCTGAATGTATTTCTGTTACTTTTAGATCAAGTATCCAATATTTGAAATCACCAATGAAATGTTACACAATGCCTTTTTGCAAATCCTCTTGTGCCAGTGGGTGGAAAGAAAGCTATTTTAAGCAAATGCATGTGACGACAGTTGCTTCTCCATTTTGTCTATTCTTTAAAAGCTGAGATACTAAATGGACTCTATTCATACAGAGCTTTTCTATTCTTATCAACCACTCAAAGCTTTTTATGGTAGAAGTCACATTTACAGACACATTCACACAGCGCTTCTATTCGTGGAATTTTTTTATCACATATCATTCATAGAGATCAGAGTTAAGTTAGTGTTCAGTGTGTCTTGCCCAAGGACACATCAGTATGCAGACTGGAGGAGCTGCAACACTAGAATCCCAAAGCTACAAATGCAAATGTTGACTCAGCAAATCATCCTCATTAAAAAGAATGTGAATGTCAAACTGAATAGATTTCCCCTCACACATTAGAATATTTTACGTTCTCTATCTATGTTGTTAGCTTGTGATTTCACTGGTGTGTTGTAGTCCGCAACCACTCTCCACTCTTTTCCAAATCAGACATCACAAACAAATTCTGCAAGAACAGGAATCTCTTCAAATATTCAATATTTTCCACCCATGAAATAGATTGTCGCTGCTGTTTATGTGATGCCTGGCATGACACTCTCGCTCCTACTTACTTCTGAGCTGGCACACTTCCTAAAGTTACCCCTGCCTCAGCATTGTGGGGATTTTAGACAGGCAGGTGAGCAGAATTAATCAGTTATAATGCTCTTATGTGCAGCAGCTAGAACAACCTCTGCACTTCAGCTGAAAGACAAGTGCCAGTACAGCCATGAGTGAGATGCTGGCTCAGATTGATGCCAATCCAGGGCTTTTCTGATTGTATGCAGTAAGGCTATTAATCTTCACTGATGGATGTGATTCCCTATCAGCAAGTAGGAAAATTTGTATTGTTTTCATTTTTTGGGTCAAGTGAAAGAGTTGAGGTTTTCAGCACAAAAGGAGATTGTTGTATTTTTGCACCTTAAAATGACAAACAAATAGTGCATTGTAATGAGAAACAAAGAATAATGAGAGGAGCTATTGTGTGAATTGGCGGAAGAAGAGCATTTGAACGGAGATGTGTACAGCTTGCACAAGTAGCCCACAAGTTTTCCAAAGATTTTGACCGACAAGTAGTTCTTATTTTACGCCCACGTTGTTGGTCTTACAGTAGCAAACCAATGTGTCTGTATCATCAGGCTCCAGATGAAGCAGCAGATACCATCAATCTCAGTCAGAAAGTGTCCATAGTCACACCTGAGGAGACTGCACCAGCAGAGACAGAGGAGGAAAAACCTTTGCCCGAGTGGAGTGAAAAAGTGGCAAGTGGGATCCTGACGGGTGAGATCACGTTGCGTCTTCAAATTTGAAATTTCTCACATTTCAGTTTGTTAGCAATTCCTTTAGAAAGATGCATGAACGTAGGCTACAGTATATCAGCATGATTTAACTGGGTGTGATCCTGATGTCCTTTCAGGTGCGTCCTGGTTAAGCTGGGGTCTGGTGAAAGGAGCCGAGTTCACAGGCAAGGCCATCCACAAAGGGGCGTCTAAACTCAGGGAGCACATCACTCCAGAGGACAAACCCACCCACGTCAGCCCCACGGTCACAAAAGGCCTCCATGTTGCCAAGCAAGCGACGGGTGGAGCTGTTAAAGTCAGCCAGTTTCTAGGTGACTACGTCATCTTCTTTCAGCAAGTTTTTACTGACCTTGCGTTGTTATTTGGCAGTGCATGTGTAATCGAGTAATGCTGTGTTACGGCAGTGGACGGGGTGTGCACGGTCGCTGGCTGTGTGGGTCGAGAGTTGGCTCCACATGTGAAAAAACATGGAGGAAAGCTGATCCCGGAGTCTATGAAGAAAGACAAGGATGGGCGTTCCAACATAGATGGAGCTATGGTGGTGGCTGCCAGTGGAGTGCAAGGTACACTTTAACTACACTTTATCATTACTAAGAGGAAGTTGTTTATTAGAGATGTACTAAAATGTGCTCACATGCATTTCATTTTGTGTATTTGCACAGGATTTGCAACCATGTGGACTGGTTTAGAGGTAGCAGCAAAGAACATTACTACAAGTGTTGCATCAGAAACGGTCACAACAGTAAAACATAAGTAAGTTTTTCTTTTTTGTTTGCCATTTTACTGGTCTGACAACTGTCACTGGCTTGAATAAACAACAGCTTGAATGTTTTGCTCTACACTGCTCACCTGACATGTTATCGATGCGTCAAACCTGCACTCACTCGTTTTCCTCTTCAATTTGCTTTGCAGATTTAGGGGTCTACAAAACGTCTTTGAAACACCTAATGAGAAGAAGTGTATTTTTTCCTAATTATACACAGCTATTTAACTCTTGACACCACTAATCACAAGCATGGCATGTGTTTCGTTTTGTTTTCTCCCTTGCACTCAAAAGTCACCTGCACTGGCCCAATTCACGGCTCTTCTCTGTGTGGAAATTCACACTATGTTGCTGCTTTCACTGATTTCTTCCAAGTTTCTTGAGTCAAATAGAAATATCACATTCCTGTTTGCAACATTGCTGTCCCAGCTGGTTTTAACATCTTCCCATATTGTATGAATTGGTGCTACCTATTCCAGTGATAAATAGTAAATCCAATATAGTTTGATTATTGATTTTAACATGCTAAATATTAGAATATATATAAAAAAGGATTGTCAAGAGTTTAGCGATAAACACACATTCCCATCTGCTTATTTCCTCTTTAAATTGGTTCTTAATTCGCCATTTGAGGTCATGGGAAAATGTTACATTTATTTATACCATGAAAGATGATTGTATCCATATTGGCCACCATTGCATCTCTGAATCACTGCAGAAGAATAATGAAAATTCCAATTATGGCAGTCAGAAACCTATTAATTTGTGATTGCATGGGTGAAATTCACATACAGCATGGCATCTTTACAATCCTCCTGCAAAATAATTAACTTCCAAATCCTCTGTCTCCTACCTCCCGCTCTGACCTCTCACCCAATCTGACTCCTGATGAAGGTACGGGGCAGCAGCGGGACAAGCCACAGACAACGCTGTCAATTCTGCCATTAATGTCGGCCTCACTGCCTTCAACATTGACAACCTGGGGATCAAAGCTGTGGTGAAAAGGACTGGGAAGCAAACGGCAAAGGCCATTTTGGAAGACTACAAGCTTCAGGAAAAACCAGAGAACGAGAAGCAAGTGGAGAAACTGGACAAATAGCCAACAGTGCCCGTCGATGTTTCCCCAACAACGCCTTAAAACAATGTTTTTATCAAATGGATCTATATTTAATATATTTGATTTATAAAATATATGTAGAAGATTACTACTGTTATATTCATAGCCTCTTTATCCTATTGTACAGCTCTTGAGCACTTAAATTATTATGCAAAATAAGGTAGATGGACCTAAACTATGGAAACAGAAGGTTGCATAACCCAAATTAAAACAATAATCTGCACAGTATACTGACACGATATAATATTCAGGTTAAATAACTCTGCTGTTTCTACTAGGAACTTGTTGAGTGGTTTTTGACTAGACACTGGAATCTCTCTCTAATCTTTAAGCTGCATCTGTGTGCGAGTTGGTGGGGTAAGTGCAATTTAGATAAAAACAAAAGAAAGACAATTACTTGCTTTGTGTTGTCCTGACAATTTCGGACAAAATGACGTTGCTATGATGTTTTTCCCCAAGTAACCACTGCTGATGACTGTGCCTGCAAGTATCTAACCAAATGTGAAATTGAATGTTTTGTGAAATTGATGCTGTCAAATGTGTCCATGGTCTACTATGTATTTTTGTGAACTCTTTAATATGTAGCAGGAGCTGTTGCTGGCTAAAGCTGTACAACGGATGCGTTCTAGAGTCTTCTGTGCTTTCCTGTACATTTCAATTCACTTAAATCCACATATTTCCAAAATGTTAATGTTTGTTCATATAAAAATCTATTTAGATTTCTTTATTTTGATGTATGGACTAAATATGGAACTAAATGTGTGTTTTCAAGTATGCTAACTTTGTTTCTAAGCCAGATATATATATTTTTTTGAGTGAAGTGATATGGTTTGTCCAGCAATTAACATGCTTGTAATTTTAAGATGCATTTCTAGTTTTTGCAGTGACATTTATTCACCACCTGAAAAACTGACACTTTACTGAAACAAGTATGAAACAATAAAATGTATACAAACGGAATAAATCCAGTGGGTTTTTTTTTATATTTGAAAGTCCATTATCTACTTTGTGCCATATGAAGTAAGAAAAAGATGAATTCATCAAGGAGAATGACCCATTTTCATTTTGATTCTGCTCTATCAACTGTTATTATTCAGGCGACACCTAGGGGCAGTATGTTTTACAACATGCTAATCATCACAGAATATCTGATTAATCTTCTGTAAATTGATTTTCTCCTAAATTGATTAATGGATCACAAATATTTATATTTTTTTAATCATTCAATCTGTGTTTGTAGTAACTCCATAACAATTGTTTAAGTTTGGGATTTAAATTAGGTCAGGCCAGCATCACAAGCTGCTATTTGTATGATTGACAATACAGATATTTTCATTCCATAGATAACAATTTTTATTGTTGAAATACATTTGAATTTTGTGAGACAAAAAAGCAATAGTCCTCCAATAGCTCTGAATGGTTCTGAATGGATATTGATTTGCTGAAATGATTTCAGTTCATTCAACCACAGGAGAATCTATCTGAGTTTGATGTCCTTGGGTTCAGATGACATTAGTGACACTGGTCTAATCGGGCGGGATATGTTGGGTTAAAGCTCACTAATGAAAGAGCAACGGGGGCCACACCAGGCCTGGAGGGACATTACACAACTCTACATGGCTCTACAATGGGTTGTTGGAAAAAAAAAGTGGCTCATCATTGCTGATGTAGAAATGAATTGTTGGGTTCCTCCAGTTATTTTCCACAGACTGAAATGAGGCAGAGACTCATTGATCCTGGCACACTGGCAGCATTTGTCCCCAGGGAGCGGCTGACCCGTCCACCAGTATTGGTGAAGCGTGCACTGTGGTCAGGCCCTCAGCTGTGGGAAGCTTTGGATCCATTGTCAGGCGATTGGTTACTGTGAAAGATGGCTGGTTTTCTTGTTTACAGTTCTGCTGCTGAGTGCATCTCTTTGAGAAATGAAAAACTGTGCTCACAAATGAACACAGCAGCCATTTTTCCTGTGGTCTCCTTATGTTTTTCCGCAAGCTGCTCTCTATTTACCTCAAGTGCTTTACTAACCTGTTGAAAATAAGATATTAAATCATGAAAGTCATGTACCTCGCAGTGAGCTCTACTGTGGCTGCTGTGTCTAAACGGTAGACAAAGGGCAGAAGGCCACACTTCTGTTATTGTTAATACAACATCACCTCTTAACTAATTCTTCAAATCAGGATTATGACATGAAACACAAGCAAACAACCACTTTTCAATTGCTTTGACCCCAGTTTTTCTAGAGCTCACATCTCATGAAATAGTTCCCAACTTTGTCCAGAAAGAAATTTAGTGAGAGACTTGACTCATCATGCTGTCACATCTAATGAGCTCTGAAGGTGTTGTCCTAAAGGCCCAGGTTACATATTTGACAGGAATATTTACAGAGTTAACCTAGACTTAAGCTTCAAAGTCAAATGAACAAACAAACAGTGCAAAGCGATACTGATCTACAGTTAGAAGTTGTGAAAAGAAGAAGAAAAGTCAGTCAGCTTTTCTATAAGCCACAAGTTTGTCCAGTATTTGAAAACCTCTGGGTTAGACAGACTGATCAGAAAACTGTGACTTCTTGAAAGTAACCTTCCAAACTTTGAAGTGAATTATGGCTTCCGCAGGCCAGCTGGACAAATGCCATATAAAGTAATGTTTCCATCATGTTGGGAAAAAAAATCAAATTGCTTACAGCCATAAAAATTGGAACGTGTCCTAAGATTTTCTCTAAGATACATTTTTCCTGCAACTATAGGCTTATTGAAGTATAACAGCAAAACAACATTTGCAAAAAAACTATTATGTTATAGATACAAAAACATGTGCAACCAACCATGAGGTGACTGTCTGCTCATTTAAGTGATTTTAGTGAGTTTATCAGTTCCTGTGCTGAATGCATCCTTAAGCGACTCATCACTGTGATTATCAATGTTGTCAGAGTGTGACTGAACCAATTGATTAAATATATCACTGAGCAAAAATTTATATCAAGATTTTTAAGTATTGATGACAATTGTGAATAACTTAAGAAGAAACAACATAACACTTGTTTTATGAATGCCAGCACACAAAAAGCATTCTGGAGAAAAGTTAAGGATTATGTTATTATACAACAATCATTCAATTAAACTGTGATAAACCTGTCACTTGTTCAATGCTTTGCGCTTTTCTGTATCTGCATGTTATGTGACTTTTTGCAGCGTCCTCAAATTGATGAGGTTGTTTTCTTAATTTGCACGTTTTTTTGTCTATTTGCATGTTTTCCTAATTTGCAGTGCATTGAGCTCTCGGCCACCGCAGGTACCAGCCAGTTTTGCTAACTAACGTTAGCGCACTACTATTGCTACTTTTTGTCGCTATGGTGAACTTTGTGCAACATCCTGAAACTATGGAAATGTTGGCTGGATATAGTGTTAATAATAATAATAATGATAATAGACAATAAACACTACTACTACTACTACTAATAATAATAATAATAATAAGAAGAAGAATACATACTACTAATACTACTACTACTACTACTACTACTAATAATAATAATGATAATAGACAATAAATACTACTACTACTAATAAGAATAAGAATAAGAATAAGAATAAGAATACATACTACTAATACTACTACTACTACAATAATCAAAATGATAATAATGACATATTTGCTTTCCATACATATAGGTAAAAATAAAAACATTTATATAATAAAATAATAATAATCCACCGCCTGCCTGTGGGCTAATCGGTTAATAATTATTGATGAATTCATTAACAAATAAGTTAAACACATCACATGAACGCGAAGATTTCCTCGAGTGCGCGCTCTGTCTTCACCGTGCACGAGCAGCGCTGACAGCCAAACGGTCCGGTGTAAATCACTGCAATGGCAGAGGAGCAGGGGAGGGAGGGAGGGAGGAGGGAGGGTGGAGGACACCGGCTCCAGCCCTACCTCCTCTCTGCGTGTGAGCACACGGCAGAGCAGCAGAGAACCATCACAGGGGCAACAAAGGGACGCATGGTTCATCCAGACAGGCATCAAACGAGTAAATGATTCATTGAGACGAGCTGCACCTGCAGACACACGTTTGATTCCATCTGTCCTCACGTCTGAGGTAAGAGAGACTGCAGCAAAACAAGAAAATCTACATGTTCTGTACCGTTTTCTTTTTATTGTTAATCTATTAGAATTTGCTTCCAGTCAAGATCCTTAAACATGTTTACATTGTTTGTGTTGTGCATCATCCACTGAAAATGCTACACTCATGCATGTGAAGTGCTTTGCTGTAAAGGTTGAATTGAGCCACACCAGCATGAAATGGGTGTGACATGTTACTTCCTATAATGCATGTACTTGCAGCATTAGCAGCATCAAAGCTTGTATCAGGAGTGTGTAGAGAACCTGATTGCTCATAATGTGTAATGCAGTTTAAAATGAAAGAGATTACTCATATAACAAGCATCCTCTTTGTATTATTTAGGGTGTGATAGCACTGCACAGTCATGGAGCTGGAGCACTTCGATGAGCGGGACAAGGCTCTGAGATACACCCGAAGGGGCTCAAGAGGGAATGGGCTTCCCAGTCCCACGCACAGTGCCCACTGCAGCCTCTACAGAACCAGGACCCTGCAAGCTCTGAGCTCAGAGAAGAAGGCCAAGAAGATCCGCTTCTACCGCAACGGGGACCGCTACTTCAAAGGGATTGTATATGCCATTTCTCAGGAGAGATTCAGGTCCCTAGAAGCTCTGCTGGCCGACCTCACGAGAGCTCTGTCAGACAACGTCAACCTGCCCCAAGGGGTGAGGACCATATACACCATCGATGGGATGACGAAGATCACCAGCATGGACCAGCTGGTGGAAGGTGAGCAGTGCTCTGAATGTTGGTTAGTTTTCCCTCCACGTTTAGTTTGAGATCAGGTGGAGTGAAACACTTCAACACAACCAGAAGCTGATTCAAGTGAGAACAACATTTCTGACTTCTGCAGTATTGTACAGATGAAGTAGCCAGTGTCACACTGCCCTGTGATCCTTATCTCTTATTTGTGTCTTTGCTTTTGTTTGTTAGCAAGTAAAAACTCTTCTAATGTTTGTTGTTCCTCGGCAGGAGAGAGCTATGTGTGTGCGTCCATAGAGCCCTACAAGAAGCTGGAATACACCAGGAATGTAAATCCCAACTGGTCAGTTGGTGCTAGGACTGCCGTGTCCATCCGTGACCCTTCTTCCCTGGGTAGCTCCAAGGCGGGATGCCCAGAAAATAGAGAGAGCAAGGACTTCATAAGGCCCAAGCTGGTAACCATCGTCCGCAGTGGAGTAAAGCCTCGCAAGGCCATACGGGTCTTGCTAAACAAGAAGACTGCACACTCCTTTGAGCAAGTCATGACTGACATCACAGACGCCGTTAAGATGGACTCTGGAGTCGTCAAAAGGCTATTTACTGTTGACGGCAAGATGGTAGGTCCATTATCCTTCTTCAGAATGCTTCTGAGATCCTCACATCTATTTTTAGGCTGTTTGGTAATAATTGGAGATCATTTAAAATAGCAGTTGTATTTCTATAATTTAGTTTCCCTAAAAGTTCAGCAACATTTTATTCTATGGAAATCAAGTCTAGATATTTTAAATCAGAAGCAAACAATGCACACTGTAGTAAGTCCACAGCTTGTATTATGTTTTATAGCAACAGCACAAGGTGCATACAAATATACTGTGCATCAGTTAAAGAAGGACAATACAGACTTAATTTTACAAAATCACAAACTGCTCTTTGTGTATTTGGATTCATTCGATGATAAAGGTTAGGCATGGTTGCACATTTGTGCCCAACATTAATCTTGTAGGTATTTGAGACGTTAATCAGGGCTGAACAATATGCAAATAAATCTAGTTTGGATTATTTTAATAGAGTTAGCAACAAGACTATTATATATGGAATGATAATTGTAGCATTTTATTTTCACCAAAGATTGTGAAAGTAAGCTGGTGCATATACATCACTGTAGCATCACAGTTCTGTATTGACCTATTTTACCTTGATTAATAACGACATAGATATTGCACTTGTTATTTTGATATATCCATAACCTGCACATTTTATTCACAGGATGCTTATTTCAACAAAAGCCCTAAGTGCTCTGTACCTGAGAGAATGCCATTATCTGATGCCCTTTTTCTCCAACACTATAGTGCATTAATTGCTCACAAGTGGGGAGGATGCAAGGAAGCTTTTGTTGGATAGAAGTCAAAGGAGATGGGCACAACCTTCGGCAATTGTTCCCAGTGCAGCTGATGCGGTGCCTAGATTCATTTGGCTGCGGTGAAAGTTATTTGGGATGTGAACGTTTCCTGCTTTCCATCTTACATGGGGAGTTTTAGCTCAACTCAAGTTCATATATATTTATAAAGCAAAGACAAAGAAAACAAACCAGACTGTGATGTGGCCTGTTCAGCTCCTCTTTCATTTCTCTGAGAGTTTCCTCCTTACCCAATAAGATAGGCATCCCAGTAGAGTCAAAGTCAACTGGGAGTATTTGCTAAATGTATTATGAGAAATGGGTTTCTAGGACTCCATCTCATATTCCTACTTACAGCGGCACATGATTAACTGGATATTCACTTAGTGGGTTTGAATAAGACTAACTTTATCAACAGTATTCATTACTTGGAAGTTTGTTTTTTTTCACACCACATTGCACCTTTACATTATTGTGGAGATGGTTGCTTTTGTTGTGTGTGTGTGTGTGTGTGTGTGTGTGTGTGTGTGTGTGTGTGTGTGTGTGTGTGAGCTGATTATTTCTGTTGAAATAATCAGCTCTCAACTTCAGCTCCAAACCTCTCCATAAACTCTTGTCACCTGCACTCTATATTTTATTTTTTCTTCTGATGGTTTCTATGGTGACATGGTTTCCCGAGCTGGTTGCTAAGGAACAGCCTCTGCGGCTGAGCGGTGCAGTAGTGATGTCAGGACTGTAGGTGTAGTGTGAGAGGACTTGTGTAGATGCAGTGCTTGGTCTGTTGGCCTTATTACACACGTAGCAGGAAGATGGAGCACATGGCTGAGCTATAATCCCAGGATAGGAGCAATTCAGGGAACAGTTGGGAGATTTTTTCACCGACAAACACATCTGCCTTCACAAATCCTCAGAAATATTATTTAGTAGTCATAAAATGGACATGACATTTTACTAGATCAGAGATAGATGTCCTGTTTACTGTGTCAGGGACTCATTTGCTACATTCTCTTGTTTGGTTTAGGGATTTCAATCCCTGCTGCTTAAATAGTTAATACAAATAAACAATTGACTGTTAATTCAAATTGAAAGTTTATTATGTAAAACACATAGTCAATAAAAATTCCAAACACATCTACCCTCATTAGCTCATTTATTTACTTAAAATAGTATAACTGCTAATTTGCCATTGATTAAACATTAAGATTTTAAAATGGATGATATTCTCATGCAGTCACACCCCATTTCTCTGTTTTGGACTCATGGTTCTATTAGTGGATCTGCTCAGCGGGTGGTTCTGCTTTATGGCTGTGAACCACCCATCGTGCTGAGTCATGGTGTTCTGCCATGACAGTCACTTTTAACTTTGACCAAGTATTTAGGAATTGGCTAAACTTTTCTAAAGCTGCCTATAAAGATGAAAAATCAACATTACCCACACTAGCACAACCACAAGATAGAAAGCGATGAGAAACAGGCACCCTGTAGAGAAGGCCCTTTGAAAACATGCCATGGCCTGGTGTGATCCTGCTGTTTTGAATGGGATGGAGCAGAGGGTATTTGCATGACTGAGAGGAGACTTAGCCTATGGCATTTAAATCCCCTCTGTAATGGATGTGTCTCTGCACTGTAATTGTATTATGCACACCACTAACATCTCTGGATCAGCAGAGTCAAAGTCTATGTCGAAATAGACGTCAACAGCCTCCAGAGGACCAAGTCTGGCTCGACATCAATGCAGGAAAGCAGAAGATGCGTCAGTATATGTGATCAACAGCCCATTTCTGCTTTAGAAATGAGATACAGGGTGGAGGTGGATGAGATTTATGGCGCTGAATGAGCCAGGGAGCTGAACCTAGCTTATGTTTTACAAATCACTTCTTCACGTTGACCTTGACTGTGCCATTTCTTGGTTTGGCCTGCATGTGCCCGTAATGAATCTCTGTGGTTCTCTGCTCATATTACAGATGTCCTGTCAGCACAGTGCTCAAAGCCTTTGTAGACAATCAATTGTTTCACGGACTGATTTTAGATTAACAATTTAAAAGTAAGATATAAAAGTAGTCGTTTTTTGCTTTTGGACAGAGATGGATCATCTTTTGGTACAACTGTAAGGTCTTATTTTGTGAATGCTGTCTAATTTAAGAAATACACTGCTATTGAAATGAATATCTATTGCTGTTTGATTTTGAGAGAATATCATTGTAAAACCCTGCCATTTTAAAACCTGTATAAGGTATAAGGTATAAATAATGTGCAACTAAAGGGGAGCAAGATGGCTGGAAGAGAAAGTGAGGCTGTCTGGCTTTCCTCTCACCTCCTGCTGTGACTTGGCTTTTAAACACAGAACAGTGACTTGCTCAGTATCCTACTGCCTTCAATGTGGAGAGGACACTTTCTCTGCCATCCTCTTTTTGTACTGAGTGCCCACAAAATGTGCTTGAGCTAAAGTTGGTACTGCTGAAACTGAACAGAATGTCAGAAGCAAGTACTTATTTAACTGTTTTCAACCGTGTTTCATCTAAATTCTATGAATTGTGGTTTTCTTTACCATAGAACGAGCCCTTTATATTCAAATCATTTATATTTACATTTAGATTTCAGATTTAGATTTCAGCATGGTGGATGGTGCTGAATTGTTCTTTTTAAGGAATGTATAACTCATTGGTCTTTACCACTGCAGTTATTGTCACAGTTTTGTCTTGGATCGTGTCTGTAACTATAAATACATTGTTTTTAAACCCTTTCTTCTTCCTACTGGACACTTGAATGTGCACACATAAAGTACATTACAGCAGGTAATAGACCCTTGATTCCAGAAAAGGAGTTATTTCAACGTTTAAAAAAGTAAGCATGCTTTCTATGTAAGTGTAACAGATGAAGCTGAGTCATGTTTCTGGCCAGCACATTGAGGTGGGGGGGGGGGTATGCAGTACCCAGCTGCTCTACCTCAGGTTGTGTAATCTATTTTCTCCACCATGGCGGAGATTGATCAGCTCTCTGATCTCCCATTGTGTTTTCGCTGGACTGGATTTCCGAGATAAAATCCTGACGGATATTATAATAATATTTCCACTGGATGCTGCAGCCGGGACCCGGAAGGGGGCTGATGGGTGGGGGTGGTCTAGGGGGGATGGTAGACCTCATGGAACTGCTGTGTCACTGAGCCAGCAGGCACAAGTAATCAATATGAAGCACAACACTCGTAATTTTTTCCAGTTATGCGGTTCCACCAGAGGTTTTTACATTGCTCACAATGTAGTCGAACAAATATTTAAAGTGAAAAAGTGGCTCTAGTGAAATCAGAGATTAATATTTTACTGAGAATCTTGCATAGCTACACACAATAGATATTTTGTCGCTCTTAACCTGGACACAGTTTTTAGATAGTGAGAAGTTATTGCCTATCATCTCACTTTCCATGATCCTGTTGTGGAATAGTTTCCCTTCTTCTATGTCAGATTGATAGTTTGGTCATTTTTTTTTTTTTTTTGTGGCTTCAGTTAAAAGAGACTGGGGAATTAGTTATAATGGTGACACCAACAAAAGGTCTAAGGCCAGATTTCAACTAATTGTCCTGTAGACAAGGTGCTCTGTTATTCCATCTTGCCTGGACTGATGGTGATACTATTCTGTTGTCTGCAGCTTGTGCTGCTCCGTGCTCCAGATAGGATCTGATCTTAAAGTAGCCGTGTCCCACTCATGCGCTCTAACTCAGCCTCTGTCTCGTCTCCTTGGCAACGGCTGTGGGGGTCTTCTCCCTCTTGGGATCTTTCTGTTGTTTTGATGGGATTGGGGGTGGGGGCTGTCAGAGAAAATACCCATGTTAACCACCCCCTCTGTGCTCAATGTTTTTTTAAAAATTTCATATCTGGATGACCTTTAACTGTTTGGACATGTTCATCCTGCATTTTTTTAAAGTGAATTAGTCATCTCCTTTGCAGAGTAATCCAACATTTCAACATTTTAGATGCAGTTTATTGAAACTGCATATAATATGTTCTAGTGTATATTTCTTCTTAAGTAATGAGATCTGTACAATAGAGATCAGATCATTAACTCATGATATTAGAAATATGGTTGGAGGGCAGTTGATAGACTGTGTTGGTTTTCTTGTCTGGCCTTTGTTCTTCAGCACTTAAGTCATCACATTAAACTCATGCTGAACTCTGCATGGTTCTTAATGAGACAATTAATAATGTATATACTATTTCTGCTGTTGGCTTTTGCCTTTGTTCCGATTTCAGTTTTCTAAACCTTGATTACATTAGAAAAACTAAATCATGAGTGTTAGGCAACAATCTTGAGTTATTTAATCAATAGCAACATCTAGCATTTGAAAATGGCCCTAATATAAACATATCCTACAATTTATAATCAGTAAAATCAAGCTTAAAAGCCAATTCGAGACAAAACACGTAGTGAATAATAGTTTTAAATCCTGTTTTTGTCGTTGACAGATGTTTTACCGAGTTAACCTCTCGGCAGAGGAAATGAAGAACTCTCCCTCCTCTGGCACTTTGCTGTAATTAAGCATATCAATACGCCTTTTGAGAGGAAGGTCAAGACACCATCAGTTTCTTCATTTATTTATGACATCCACTGAGATGGGCTCCTGTAGTAATGAGAGCAGCGGATGTTGTCGTCCTGTTTGTCTTTGTAGAAAAGTTAAAATGATTATTATCTTTTCTAGATTATCATCAATACAAAAAAAATGTGCCGACCAACAAATCCACGTTTTGGATTAAGGTTAAAATTAAATGTCTGACCAGGAAACCATTTCATATTTTGAGCATTCAGTTTTATATACTTTATATATATAAATAGTACTTTGTGTTCCATCAGATTCGATGATTTGTGAAGGATGCTAAAAGATCAGAATTTGGAAAATGCTTCCTTATGTTCATGTGTATTGATGTGATTGACACCTTAATGGATGATGTTAATAAAAACATGTCTTAACAGGATGTTATATTGAATGGTCCTGGACTATAGAGGATAATTGACTAAATCTCTCACAGGGGACGAAGACACTTAAATGACCAGCAGAGGACATTGTCACTGTGACTGTACTGAATATAATCCAGGTTTAAAAGGAGCTCATCTTTTTTTAGTAGTTACCCTAGAGAAACTTTTACTTTCAGCCGGGCTGAGAGGAAATGTTAATGCCATTATTCATGTGCTGTACACAAAATTCATTTCCCTTTGGCAATTATGAATATGCAGTTTCATTGTGTCTGCCCAACTCTATCTCATCCTCTTTTCTTTTTCTACTCTATTTCATCCAGTGGTATTTTCTTTCATGATTCTCTCTTGTACACTGATTGACCTGAATGGTTTTGATCAGAAGTAATACGTATATTTGTATAATTTCATATCTGAGATTTCCCCAAATTGTGCTGCATTTCAAACTAAAAAAGTTAATATTTAAAAATATAACTGACAGAAATATATCAATGTTTCCCAGGTTACCTGTCTTCAGGACTTTTTTGGGGAAGATGATATATTCTTTGCTTGTGGCCCCGAGAAGTTCCGTTATCAGGATGACTTCAACCTGGATGAAAGTGGTGAGTGCACTTTCATTTGTACGAGGCGTGATTCACTCAGTGGAAAGAATTTGGCTCTAAAACTCCCAGGATTCTTTGTTTTGTGTTGTTGGCTACTGTGGCTACACATTACATTGTTTTTTATTAAACTATCCTCCTGTGTGGCTCAAGTAAACACTGAATATGCCAAACATGAAACATGAAAGGTGTAATATTTGTGCCTGCATTAGGTGTGGTGAGGATACGGACTAGAACAAGACTGGAAAACAGATTTGCTTCATATTGAACCTAGGTCCTGGCTGACCTAGTTTAAGGTTGTTGTTTAATGTGTGTGTGTGTGCTTTATTAAATGTGCTCTCCAGGACAAAGCAGACATCATCACTCACAGTTTGTGGCTCTGTGGTTTTAGGCTAATGTACCAGAGAGAAAATAGTCCCCTATCAACGATGGTATATTTACTGAAACAAACCCGGAACCTCAAACTGACATAGACTCAAAAAAACTAGGTAATTTCTGAAATGGTACTCAGTCGAGTGCATACCTATCATCCAAGGCCATAGCAATCCTTTTTTTATTTTAGCATAAATAGCCAAATATTATTTCCTGAGAAAGTGAGAACATTATTGAAATTGCCCCGATCTTTTAATATTAAGGAAATTGATGGAAAATTCCTGGATCAACCCCTTCCACCAAACTTCCAAGGGCTCTTTCCTTGCCCCTGCCCCATCCCCTCACCAAATCTGGTGCAAATTGCTTCTGTAGTTTTTGAATAATCCAAATCATATCCAAATAAGATGAATAATTAAGGTTATTTCTATAGCAGCTTTCATACAAGTATTACAGCTCAAAGTGCTTTACATACAATATAGATACAAAATATTTAAGAAACATAAGAATATGTTAAAATGACATGTAAAAGAAAAGGAAATAGAAAAGAACTCAAATCAAACAAACAGTAACAACATACATGGGTGACAACCTAATATCCTTGGTGGATGAAATAAGTTAGTCGAGTTTTATCATTGAAAAATGTTGCTGCAGTTGCATATTTGTTCATGCATCTTACTTTTTTGAATTTTTTTTACAGAATGCAGGGTTGCAAAGTCTGCATCTTACGGGCGGCTTCCCTCCATTACGGGTCGCTCTTCCCCAAAAAGTGGTGGTTGGTCCCGCAGGAGCAAGTCTCCTTCATCCACTGGTTCAGGTAGCTGCTATCTTTATCACTTTCTGGTTCGTTTGATGGTTAAAACTTGGTTTTAGGTTCAAGGGTCAGAATCTGATTCGAGTAATGGTTGGTGGAAAGCATTTACTTGTGATTGTTTTTGAAACAGAGAATATAGCCCTCTCCTAAGGTTTCAATATTTCTTTAAATGTTTACATGTGTGCTATGTATAAAAGTGCATTTTATTGTGCAGCACATCTTCATGATGCAGATTTCTGTTTTACTGATAGCTAACGGCACTGCAGGCAGTCAGCTGTCCACTCCTCGATCTGGAAAGTCTCCCAGCCCCTCTCCAACCAGTCCAGCCAGCCTCCGAAGACGACAGGTAATACACATTGATTTTCCTATGAATAACTTTCACTTCTTAGACCATACTGTACCAAATAGGCCATGTCAAAGATTTACATAATTACAGTATCTTCCTCAATTAATAATGTTTAAAACTATTATGGTGACATGGAATTACCGTAAATGAAAATGTTGTTTATTGAACGAATAAATATAATAATCTTCGGACCAATTACCAGCAAAATATGTGTGAGTGTTAAATATATAAATAAATAATAAATAGTGTACTTATATTACTGCAAATCTAAAAAAGGTGTAAATATACAGACGTGAAAATCAGCCCGACGTAAACACAAGCTGTTTTTGTTCATGTATTCTGTTAAATTTCAGACTTATGTTTTGAATGCAGGCGTCAGCAGCACATTTTCACTGTGTTATCAAAGATCTGGGATGACAAACACATTTTGCTTCTGCGCCACAACTGTGAGCGAAATCCAATTATCAGTGCCACCATCGTTAATTAATCATAAGGCTGGCTGGGGTTGGAGGCTGTGGTGGAGGATTTTATTGCTCGCCCTTTTCAAACCACATGTCTTTATGCTGGTGAAAAGCTTACCATGGTTTCACCACACTTTTATTATCTAATCTCAAAGTGCATCCTCAAGGCTGGAACAGTGGAACAAATGTGAGCAGGCACTCTGTTTCTCCTTCCAGGGATCTCAACACAGTGGCTCCTCAATCTCTTTAGCTTCGACTAAGGTTTGCAGCTCAATGGATGAAGGAGACGGGCCCGGCAGTGAAGGTTAAGATATTGCATGACACGTGAATATTCTGGAATATTTTTATGTAAATTCACTTATAAATCCTCATTTGTTTGACTCCACAGCTGAGCCAATGGAGGACCACTCTTCAGTCCCAGCCTCCATAACAGAGAGGTACAAAGTGGGCAGAACCTTAGGGGACGGAAACTTTGCTGTGGTGCGGGAGTGTGTGGAGAAATCCACTGGGAGAGAGTTTGCTCTGAAGATCATCAGCAAAGATAAATGCAGGGGAAAGGTGGGTCTGCCTCCACACTGTTATTTCACCACAGAAATTTGGTTTAAATTGCTGTTTACTCACTTTAGATATTTTCTCTTTAGATGATATTGATGTAATTCTGCTTTGGATTTCTTTAATTTCCTTATTGGTCAGTGGATGGTGCCATTTCCTCTGGAACAAAAAAAAATCTGTTTCTAGATTTTTCATTTATTACATTTACTTTATTACTCAGGAGCACATGATCCAGAGTGAGGTGTCAATCCTTCGGCGTGTTAAACATCCCAACATCGTACTTTTAATTGAAGAAATGGACACACAGAGCGAGCTCTATCTCGTAATGGAGCTGGTTAAGGTACAACACAGTTATTGTTCTGTCCTTGTTTTTGTTTTTTTACTAGATGTCTATTTTGTGACATAATTGTATGTTTGTCTGTAAAAACAGATTTCTCCTGATCCTTGTTAATACATAGACTCATGTCGATTTCCCTAAACCCACATCCTCTCTCTCCAGGGGGGCGATCTCTTTGACGCAATCACCTCCTCTAACAAATACACAGAGCGAGATGCCAGCTGTATGTTGTTCAATCTGGCAAGTGCCATCAAGTACCTGCACAGTCTCAACATTGTCCACAGAGACATAAAACCTGAAAACCTGTTGGTAAGTACCACTCCACAAAGTTTTCTATTCACTCCTCATAGGCCCATTGGTCTCCAAAATTCAAATGTACAAGCTTCCAATTCAATAAATTAAATTATGAAAATGATGACATGAAATTATTGTACAAAACTCCAAAGGTTTGGGACGTCATATGTCACTGTGGTCATTTGGAACTTCTAAAGTCTGACCTAAATCTGAAATATAATGCTCTGCTAACTCTACAAGACTCAGATTAAAGACCAAATGTTTCTGAAGTCAATGAATAAAGTTCAGTCTTCAGACAAGATGTTAACCTCAAAGAGAACTCGGTCACAAATACAGTTTTTAGTTGAAGTGTTGCTATTTTTTACGACGACTTAAGTGTTTGCTGTTTTGTTTGTACCACAGATGAATTTGAATGCTCCTGCTGTTGTTTTCACTCAGTTTAAAGTGATTTTATTGTCACATCCAGCTCATCAACAGAATCTTTACCCCAGTGAGGAATATTATTTATAATCTATCTGATTACTGTTTCTTGCTTGCCCTTATTGCATGTGCACTCAGGTCTACGAGCACCAGGATGGCAGTAAATCTCTGAAACTTGGGGACTTTGGTTTGGCCACCGTTGTGAACGGACCCCTCTACACTGTGTGTGGTACCCCCACCTACGTAGCTCCTGAAATTGTTGCTGAGACGGGGTGGGTCAGAGCAGTTGTGTCATCTAAGACATGATCATTCTTGTGAACTGTTGCTCCTTGCAGATTTGTTTAGTTTCTGATACCGGATGTTCTCCTCTTCAATTAAAGATATGGCCTCAAGATTGACATTTGGGCAGCTGGTGTCATCACGTACATTCTACTGTGTGGATTTCCTCCTTTCCATGGGTACGTATGTGCTCCTATATCAGAAGAAGTTTGACCTTTTAACCACATCAGTGACATTAGTTTCTTTATCTCAACAAGAAGCAGATTGGCACTCATTGAGTCCATTCGTCCTTATGAAACCACATTTAAGTCACTTGATCCAGATTTATATTTGGAACTGCACCAAATTTCACACACTCAGGAAATAATATCAGTCCTCTAAATATTCATCAATTTTCACAAATTATTCCCTTAGAAATGAATGTAAATGTCAGAAAAAGATTGTTCTAACCTGTGCCTGAATTCAATGTTTTGTTTCTTGACTCATGTCCCATTCCTCCACCAAGTTGAGAGGAAATGTGTTCAGTGGCTTGAGCATAATCCTGCTGACAAACAAACCAGATGTGAAAATTTAACCTAGAGGTAACAAATGGCATCATACACCTATGATATATGTGTTGTTTTTATTTCTCCAGCGGTGACAAAGATCAGGACGATCTCTTTGAACACATTCTGAGTGGCCAGCTGGATTTCCCTGCAGCGTACTGGGACAATGTTTCTGACTCGGCCAAGGTTTGTGTTCTCTCCTCATGTGCCACCTCAGTGTGAAACATCAGAATCTGTCTCATGTTATTAAACCAGCTACTCATGAGTAAACCAACATGCTTCTCTTTAGACATTGATCACTGGGATGCTGCAGGTGGAGGCAGATCAGAGATACACAGCGGTACAGGTGCTCGATCACCCCTGGGTCAATGTAAGTTCAGCATAGTGGGGTCACTCCTCTCACTAGAATCACGTTCAAGTAGTTTTTATTTAATTGTATTTATACCCTGATTAGCGTGTAACGCAGCTGGTAGAGTCGCTGAAGTTTGCTCTTTGTGTTTCTCGAGGATGAGGGTGCGTCAGAGAATGAGCACCAGCTGCTGGTGGCTGGAAAGATCAAGAAGCACTTCAACACTGGACCAAAGCTCCACAGCACCACAGCGGGAGTGTCAGTCATCACAGTAAGCTCTGCTCTGCACTGGTCCATCAGTAAATGAAACTTTTTGTTTTGTGAATCTGCCTGAGGGATGATGCTTTCGACGTCATTACAAACTGAAAATATCTTTAGTTTAGAATTTTGTCCCTGATATCCTTTTATACTTTGGTTTTCATTTGAATTCACTATTTGTATGAAGCAGCATAGAGCTAATACGCTGGGCTTCCATCACAGAGTGCTGGCAGTCCACATTTCCCACCCCCGCCCTCCGAGTCATGGCCCCTTGGTGGAGCCCTTTTCATGTCTCGGCCTAATTTACTTTACTTCTTATTTTCTTTGCCTTTTGTAGCTTTTCCTGGTTTTGTTGAACACTTTACTAGTTTGCAGCATCAAAAGATGAAGTTAAACTTTGTCACAAGAAGGAGAGAAGTTGTAAGGCCAATGCAGTTGATCACATTTAACTGATAGAGTCGATGCCGCTCCTCATGTCCTGTTTTCCTGTGGAGAACCTAACAGTCGCCGCTGTGTCACCCTCCCTCAGACCACGCCACTTGATAAAGAGAAGCAAGTTTTCAGACGTAGACGCCATCAGGATGTGAAGTCCGTCCCCCACCTCCCACACAGCTTCGGTGCCTCCCACGGTGCCACCCGCGGCCTCTCCCCCACTGACCTCACCCCAGAGTCTGAAGACTATTCCCCGAGTTCTGCCGGCACTGTCCGTTCACCCGTCTCTCCGTTCTGAGAGCCTTCCTGAGGCCACAGCACCGTCCACCCCTCTATGAAGAGGTTGGGGCACAGAACAGATTCAACCCATCATTGGGTTCAGTCTGCTGACCTGGACATTGACAGGCTGCACATTTATCTGCACCTATTTTATTTCTTTCCTGCCATAGAACTTTAAGGAGCAGTTCATCTCTGGGTCAAAGAATAAGAGCATGCAACAATTTTTAGTACATTTATCCTTTCACCTGATTTCTACACAGCAAGCACTGGTTCATAGTAGTAATATAGAGCCCTCTACTGGTTTTTATTGTGTACTACAGGAATGGCAGTCTGCTTCATGAAGCACTTTTTAAAAGAAGTTGTTAACAAACAATACTGAAACCATAGCCTCGGAATATTCATGCTTGACTCCAACACAAACGCTCATGTATCTAGAATGACACTCATATCTCTTCCCAGGCCCAACAACAAGCTGCACCAAATGTCACACACTCGTAGACTCAGTCCCTTAAATGTGTTATCAACCTTAATTTATTCAGTGAAAATGTCAACAAAACAATCAGACACACAATGTTACAGAGAGTAGAGAAAATTAAATTCTAGATCCGCCCCTTTGTTCAAATCCACACCCAAATTTAATGGGTTCTGTCTTGGCCCACTTCCCATCCTTCACTAAGTTTGGTCTAAATCCACTTTGTAGTTTTTGCACAATCTAGCTGACAAACACACAAACGGACAAAGGCAAAAAGCCTCTCAACACAACAGTCACCGTTCTGCTGCACTGTTTTACATCCAGATTACTTCGCTGTGGCACTTTAGGTTCAGGTGCATAAACCTTAGACACCATTCAACAGAACTTGAGAAGACATGCTGCTGAACTGTAGGAGAAATATTGTGTGGCCACTCAGTAGCTTTTCCTCGTGGAGATTTGAGGGCACTAATGTTTGAGTGTTGATGGTCCTGTGTGCTTGAGGGAGGATTATTTAAGTGGTTTTGTTATTTGTCTGTGTGAGTGTGGTGTTGTTGGTTGTACGTGCATGTGTAAAAACTTGCCTTGGCACAAGTGGATTTAAGTGCAATTAGGTTTTCTGCCCAATGAGCACATTATGAGACATGTTCTTTCACAATGCTGGAACAAGTGAGATAAAAATAAAGGATCTGTCGCTGGTATTAATGGAGTCCAACACAGTTCTCTATCAGAGGGAAGTTTAATGTTGGTAAACTGCAGTGCTTCCAGGAATATCCATTATTTTACTATTTTTATTCTGAATGTACTGTACGTCCTCTGACCACATCATATGTCGCTTCACCAAATAATCATAGATGTGAATGTCCTTTCATCCAAGACTGTAACCTGCATGTTTGCTAATATGCATCCTAAGATAAGTTGTTCTGGTCTTTTACTCTTCAATATACGCCTGTCAGATATGAAACCACTTCTGTTGCCATTGTACATGCTGTCTTGATGAATGCAGTCCTGTTAAGACAGACCACAACTGAGTTAAGACTTATATATAAATGTATTTTAACAGAAATGTCAAACCACGCCACTTGCTGTTAAAGGGCTTTTTAAGTTTTGCCAAAAAGCACACCGAGAGCAAGTCGTCATAGTAAGTTGTCAGGAATGTGTTTGTTTTGAAGATAGTGTCTGTTTTTCGCCATCGCCAAAAAAACAATGTTTGTGAAAAATGGTTCTCGAAGAAAACTGGGAATGTCAGTGTTAATGTGGAAGCAGATGGAGAATGTGAATGCTGTATTATATTCATCCATATTCCATTAATGTAAGAATGTTATTAAACCTAAATGAGAAAAAAAACTGTAATTCACTTATTTTCAATTCTTAAGGGGAAAATTACAAAGTTCTGACAACGACACACAAACAAAAATTAAATACTGAGTGTCAGTGGAGCAGCCTGCATTAACAAGTCTCCACAGCAGATGGCAGTCTAATCAAACAATGAGCATGTCTTCAGTTCCACCTTGTATAGCATTGATTTACTGACCTATAGTTACACATCCTTTATTACAGAGATTCAATTAATACATGCATCCTTAAGAGGCCTTAAACTCCTGAGACTCGTGTATTTATTCATTTGTATTAAAAACATCAGTTCAATTTAGTTCTTAATTTTGATTTATCACATAAGCAGAAACTATTTGAAAAACAAATCATAATGTATCTTAAAATGTTACATAAAATCAAAGTACACTTCATGATGCCAACAAATTGTCAAACGGATGTAAATTCACAGTAATGAAAAGCAAAGTAAAGCCAATGGCTTTAGTAGCTGTTAGCATGCACGACCTCAGCTCTCGGTCCGGTGTTGTCTCATAGCACCACCAGAAAATAAGAACGCAAACTCAAAACATTTGCATATTTTTGTTCTTTTAAATAGTCAGCTCAGGAGACCAACTTCTTGTTTCAGCGATTAAAAAGAGAAACTATAGTTTTTCATTTCACCAAAATAGCTCAGTCAATTTGGGAACATTTCACTGCTCATCATTAGATCATTTTATCGTCAAACTGAAAACATTCATCAGACGTTATATTGCTTAACAATACATGGTGTCACAACAGGATCATGATTTCACAGACTTTAAATGAACGAGCTCATGTTTTGTGCAACAATAGGCAAACTGAAAAAGTGTGGAGATGCACAAGTAAGAATATTCATGTTTGCAAACAATTATAGAATGTCTTAAAAATGACTTCCTCTCTTTGAATATGTCTGACAGCTTCACCGCAAACATGTTAATGGTCATGAAAAACTATCCAAGAATCTAGTTTTTAATCCTCTGGATGGGATTCTTTAAGAAACAACTGATGATCATTTTATTGTTTTACTCTAAGTAATTTTAATCCTTCGCCATTAATTTAAAAAAAAATAGTCCTAAATTTAAAGTAAGTATGGGAATATCACAATTGATCATTTCTGTTGACGTGGTAATCAAAAACAAATACTTCACGACAGACTCACACTGAATTAGACTTTTCTTCCAAATAGACAATCAAACAACAAATTAACAATGAATGTTGTTTTTTCACATTTGCACATCTGACCACTGTTAATAACAAAGAGCAAACAATGGCCATACACATGTGTCACTAATGTCTGCAGTGCAATGACGCCATTTTGAACATTTATACATGGTTCACGTGACTGAGAGGTTTATAACATGAAGGCTACAGACTAACAGCATTTAGATCTTTATCTCAACCTTTACACTGTCCATATATACAGTTTATTTATTTTTCTAGAAAAGTGAGATATGTATCCGTCATACAAATGTTGTATAAATGTTTTG